CCCCCTGTCAGGAGTATTATAGGGGTTTAGGGTTAATATTATCCCCCTATAATGGGGTATATAGGCGTTAAGGGTTAATAGTGGCCCTATATCCTAAACCCAAAAACTGTGCCTGTGACTTGTGAGGCCAACTCCGGCCATCCAGGGACGCCCATGGCAGGGGCCCTGACGTTGCCCGGTTTCCGAGTGCGATTTTTGCGCACAGCATGAAATAGGGTTTAGGGTTTAGGGTTTTGGGGCCTAAACAGTTACCAATGTTATTTCGAGGTCTATTCGACATACCCCTACCAGAATAGTACAAGGAATCTAGAACCAGAATGTTTGTAACTATGTGCACTAGACTCTTACATCACTCAACTGTCATGGCAAGGACAGAATCATATATATATATATACATGGAATCGATGCCAAAATCACAAGTTGGACATTTTTCATTCTGGACCCTGTCAATTTCAAGTACCCCAAATCCTGAGAAGTGCGTAATGTAGAAGCCTGAATACCCAGCAAAGCTACTCCTTCAATATGCTTACAAAGTTTCTAGTAGGATTCCCCCAAGACACCTTTCCCCCCTAGGTTGCTGCATCAGTTTAAGGATCCTGGGTGTGGCAAGATTGGCTAGGGTGAGCTAGGTCCGCGCTTGGAGCTTTGCGAGCAGGAAGTTTACCCACAGTCAGTGTAGGCACCGTAATTTGGGGATCGGAGTACTCTATCCAACTCAGAGAGCCTATGGTTTTGACTGTTCAGATTGGGACCTCCTTTTCAGCTCCTACAGTGTGGTATCTCAAAGACTTGGGTGAGACTATGGGGCCGCCCGGAGTTACCTTACGCGGTTTAGGTTTAGGCGTAAGGTAAAGGCAGTGTCGCCCTTAGGGATCTTGATAGCTACACGTTGTGACTAGCACACTGGTCGTTGTCGCGTTGGCGGCTCAGACCCGATGTTGTCTTGCCATTCTTTATCAAGAAGTATGAAATCTGATTACAATGCAATCGAATCAAGCCTCCTCAAAACTCCAATTTCAAGGGTGCCCTTGAATACCTCAAATTAGCCAAAACCCTTGTACATGAACTTCACAAGTTGCAAGTGGCTCTCAACCTTCAGAATCCGAACGTGTGCAAGGCGATGGCACCAGTTGCGTACGCTCTGTGGGCCAGGTCTCAGGGGAGGGAGGGCGCGAGACAAGTGCAAGTCTGGCTTCAACCAGATATCACATATTGTGGTATCTTATAGTATATTTATGGTATCTTTACGGTATGTTATGGTATATTATGGTATATTATGGTATATTATGGTAATATGCTATATTACGATATATTATGGTATCTCTGTGGTATATTATGGTGTATTGAAATGATGTAGTGTAGGGTTGGTGCCTGGATTATGCAGGGCTTACTCAGGGATTTCTGTAATGTCTTGCTGTATACTTTAGGTGGACCCCCCACCCTGTAATAGTGGTATTATAGGAATATAAGAGGACCCTAATATAGTTACTAGTATCCCTTAGAGTCACTATTACAGGGTGGGGGGTCCTCCTAATGTATACTGAGAATTTCCATTTTCCGCATGAATGCAGCTGGCCTTGCCATTCTAGGGTGTAGCAGTGTGGATAAGAGTTTTGAAAGGGTACTCTTTATGCCAGGCCACGCTGAATGTTGTGGAACCAACCGGATCATTCTGCATGTAGGCCTCTGCTATCTTGGGTCCGTGCTGAAAAGTACTTCGAACCTGTAGCCTTCAAGCCCCACCCTCAAAGATCCTGCTACTTTGCAACAAGGGCGACGCCCCTGAGCCTGGAGGGAAAGCATTGTCCCACGCCTCAACAAACTTCATCATTCTCCGAAAGCTTCGGAAATACTGGAATCATGATAATACACCATAATATACCATAGAGATACCATAATATATCATAATTTACCCTTATTTACCATATACCATAACTATACCATAAACAAACCATAATATGCCATAGATATGCCATGATATCATGAGCTGAACTGAATTCGACCATCCCGGAGCTCTGTTGCCACATGTCGCAGATGGGTTTTGCAATGGTTGTTGGAAAATGGGGTGTTATTGAATTTGAATTGAACGCAGCTCGAGCGTGCTCTGAGCATAGCGGGCACTTCTGACCCATCACTCCATACTGCTGTGAAACGATGATAGCTAGCCAGAGCTGCCCCGCTTAGCACCACCAATAATGAACCAGAAGTAAAGCAAATGGAAAATATTAGAAGCGCAAATAAATAAAAACAATCAAGAATGCGGGGGGAATGTCATTGAGCTACGCA